TATTACATAAAATCCATCAAAGGGACAAATAAATAATCATTGTTATGTGTATTATTTAATCATTTTACCGATTGTTGCGCCTCTTTTTTCGAATTCACCAGCTCTACAAGCTCCTTGACGCGACGCAGGCAATCTTTCTTTGTCCTGTTCGGTATGCATTCCGCTATTCTATCCCAGCGATCGGGCGTTGAGATTGGATAGGTTTTAATAGCTTGTTCCAGAAGCGCCTGCTCTTCTTTTGTCCACGTTTTTGGTGCAGCAGCTGGCTTGTTCGTCGCTTTCGCGGCAGCCTTGGTATCGTTATCACACTGCTGTTGTTCCTTATTACCATTTGTACTTGCATCGCCATCAGCATGGCTTTCATTATTCGTAACTGGTTGATTGACTGTAATATCATTGGTGGTTTGCACTTCCTTCTTCGATTTGTTGAAATTTTCAAAAGCCGTGTCGTTAGCCTGCGCTTTAAGTGAACTTTTTGAGAAATCACTATTTTGCATTGCCTTTGCTTTATTGAGCACATCGCGCGCACTCACTGTTACCCCAGCGGTTGAATGCTGATTAATGAAAGCGGCAATAACATCCCAACGCTGGAGTGTGCCAGCTGGGAATAAATTTACAGACTTGATGAGCAATTGCATATTTTCATTATTCCACACATCACTCTTCTTTACGTCTTTATCATTCTTAGTGGTTTTTTTTTGTTGCGTTAGATTGAGTTCCTCCAATTCGGCCGCAATTTTCTTTTCTACAGTTTTCAATGCGGCAAAAAATGCATTTTGTCCCTTCTTTTCAATATCTTTATTAAGCTCTTGCAGTTCACTTAAATTGAATACTTCGCAAATTTTTTCCACGCCTTCCATATTCTTGAGTGTTTCTTTATCACTATTGCCATAGTACTTGGACTCCTTTAGCTTATCGCGCAAAATTTTTCTTTCTTTTTTTAACACTTTCTTCATTTGTTCTTTTTCAATTCGTATTTGTTCAATTCGTTTTTGTTCAGCTTTCTCGGCACGCTCCTTTGCCAACTGTGCCTCCCGCAGAGCTCGTTCCTGTTCTGCTTTCTGTGCCTGAGCAGCATCCATTTTCGCACGTTTTGCCGCTAATTTTTTTTCTTTTTCCTCATTTTTGAACTTCTGTATACGTTTGTCATTATTGTATGCTAAATCGACTAAAGCACGGATACGCATCATTTCTTCTTTTTTTCGCTTAATACGAAGTGCCTTATTTTCCTTCTCAATCCAACGCCTTTCATCGCGATCTTGACCCTTTTCTTTATCCTCTTCGTCCAGATAACTAAATTCACGCCAAGATTTGAACTCATACCAAAAGCTGTAGAACTCTTCCACGTGTTCACGCTTTGAATTTTCATCGCCGAATTTTGGCACGTTTTTCCTTTCACTCCAGCGCGCGTTCAAGTCGAAACATTTATTAAAGCATTTATAAAAGCTGTTATCGATCTCAGCCTGGGATGGAAAGGAGTCATCAAATTCAGGATCAACAGAGTCATAAGCACGTCTCATCTTCGGTGTGCCTATTGAGAAAACCATTATTTTTGTACTAAGTAAAATAAATAAACATTCTTTGAACATACCAAGTATTTCATAGGCTTTCGTAATGCAAGTGAAATAATCCTCATCGGTGTTTACATCCTCGCCTTTGGCTTTTCGCTTATCAGGGTGATGCATTAACACCATGCGCCTGTAAGCACGCCGTATATCGTCATCGGTGGCATTAAATCTGTAAACGATACGCGCACGTTTTAAGATTTTATCAATTATTGTAACTGAGTGTTTGTTACCTTAATTTTCCTAAACCAAGTATTGCATAATGATCATGATCTTTCCATTCTTTGGGATCAAGTGATTTCAGGTAGTCTACATCGACCGCGAATTCTTCAGGTAACTTGTCCACCGCATCATCATTGCTTTCCGCCGCCTCTTCTGTAGTGGCATTATATCTATTCGAATTAAGGAATGCCAAGCCAACACGTTCGACATTCCTGCGGCTAAAGGCCAAATTACAATTAATTTCCACAAACTCCAGCATTTTGTGCCGAGATCAACAATAATTTTGAAAAAATATATAAGCAAATCGACAAGGCATACAGCTGCCTGAAGAAGGTTCGTAATTGTCAAAAAAGAACAACCACGAGATGATGATGGATTATTGCCAGATGTACGCAAATTACTAAAAAGGACGATAATTTAAACAAAGAAGGAAACATGTGTACAAAACTAATTTATAAATATGTACTTTTTTTAAATAAATAAAAAGGATTTCTATGTGGTTTTATAAACAAGTAATAAAATCTAAATTACAGCAAAAGCTAAATTTTAAGATAACGCTGATTACACGAGAGCACAATCAATTTTTTTTTGGAGACAACTCAGTGATGATTTACATTTTAACTTAGTATGTACAATACCAACATATAATGACATATGATTTAAGTATTTATTTACTTCCAGATCTTGATTTTTCACAAAGTGCTAAAAAATATAAATTGAAACAGTTTCCCAGTTACAGTGTGGTCTAACCATAAAATAAGACATTGTTAAAGAAATACTCTCATATGGCAGCCTTGATTGGAAATGACAGCAATGACAGCTTTTAGTTTGTTCCAGTATCCTTTGGGCAAAACCTGTGGAACTGTCAAACTACAATGTTACTCTCCCAAGTGAGAGTAAAATGAGAACTGAATCAGAAGTGTACGAGAACGCAAAAAGCACTATTTCCTGTAAAAACGTCAGTCGGTTTGTTTAAATTCTGCTTATTTTCACCAAAATTTCAATTTTAATCAGAATTTTTGTATGCAGTTTTGCAGACCATTTCATTCTAGTATAATGAAGTGCAAGTTTCAAGATGCTATAAAATCCCGGTAATTTTTGGCAATTTTTTTGCCGGCAGTGTTCTCCATATAAAAGAAAATGGTCGCACATACTTTTGTATGGAAAAAATGTGAAAAACCTTCAACAAAAAAAAAATCATTTTTGTGAGCTGTCTGCAAATGTTTTTTAATGTGGGCTGTCGCTTCACCTGAGCATTTTAAAAGAAATTCCAAAGAATCGGCGAAAAAGGCCGATGCCGATGCTCAATTTTGTGTCGATACTAGCCGATGCCGATTAATCGGTCGGACTCTAAGCGCAAGACGCCGCCATTCTTAGGTCCATTTTCTTTTTCGATGGTCATCTTATTGTCTTTTTATAATCAAGACGTTGCTATTTTTAACTTTAGTTTCTTTTTCGATGGTCCTATTATTGCCTTTTTATAATCAGGCAATATAAAAAAAAAGAATTTCCACTAAGTCGAAACTAATAAAGTTGCATGATGTAATAATACAAGGTGTTATCAGTTGGCAACTTCTCGCTCTAATTCCGCCATATTGACGGCCTTACGTGAAACAGTGTTACTTCTTGAACTATTCTTTGCCCATTAATATAGTGGAATGTTTTTAATTTTTTCTCAGTATACACACTTTGTTTTCTTAAAAAGGTATTTTATCTTATTTAATTTCATTTCATAACGAATATAGTATAGAAAAACAAATTTTGTTTAGAAGAAAATGTGAAATTTTATATTTTTCCCCCATATGTGGATTCATTTCTTGCCGTTTTTCTTCTCATTCTACTCAGCTAAGGCAGTGTCAAATCGAGCTGTCACAACTGATACTACCTTGCATTATTGCATCATGATAAAGTTGCAACTTAAGGCTGTGTGCGAGTTGACCTAACTTTTAGTACCTCAACTAATATTCCACTGGAAATTTCCAGCACTGCTACCAATTTAGGGAAACAACTGCTAAAACTGTGCGAGTTCATTTGACAACCTAAATTGTTTGGGTATAAGTGAAAAATAGGGCCCGTTTAGCTAGAAAAAAAAAAGAAAAAGGGGACATAGTTCATGATGCAATAATAGGTGCAATCCCGTATTCCTCGGACTCGGACTAGTAAAACTGTCAAAAAATAAAAATTCACTCAGAGCGAGAGAGGATCATTGAAAAGTGCGGGATCGCTTTCTAGTAAAAAATGGCAACTTCTGTCAACTTCAACATAACCTTCAAATTTTGGTTGTAAATTTTTGCTTATTTTGAATGTAAACGCATTCAGCTCACACATTTAAATAACCAAAAACACTTTCAAATTCATTAGAATCCACTTAAACAAGTAATTAGATACTTTTCAACATGAATTAGCAGAGTGCACTTTTCTTTTGTTTCTTTACGATATTTTGGAAAAATGACATTTTTATTAAATAATGTCAAGTCTGATCATCCGTTTATGTAATTTTTACTTTCATCGCATGTTTATGCAAAAGAATAAGGTATAAGTTTCTTGTTAATTGTGTGAAATGGCCAGAACTGCCGCAATGATGTGAAGTCGATGTTTATCGAAAGCATGATGTGAAATATACAAAAGCAAATATCTAAATGTTATGCACCAATTTGCTCTAAAAGAAAAGCTTGAAATTGACTTATTATTTGAGCATTTAAATGAAGAGAAATTGAAGGAAAAGTATTTTGGTTTTGTTTTTGTGTAGCAAAACTGTAAACAAAGGATGAAGGAAATGTCAACGAAAACACCAACAGTCGGTGTGAACAGCCTTCAGCCCACAATTCCAAAACTCATTTTCAAGGTGTTTTCGTTGTCGGTCAGAACATGGTATAATTTCACTTTGCATACACTAGAGATGTTAGTGGCAAAATTACATCGATGATTTTCTTTGATTCGATTGATTAGCAAAATTGTACAAAATTTTAAATAAATTACTGCAACTGAGCTCATTATGTGTCTAGCGGAACTTGTTTGACCCATTTCAATGTCTTGTACAAATTCACTCCTCTTTTTTGTACAATTGAAAATTTGAACGACAGCTCAATGTACTAGAGATGCCAGTTTTCAAAAACCTCGATGCATCGATATATCGACTATTTATACATCGAGAGGAAAATTTTCGATGCATCGAAGCAAAACATCGATATTTTAGATGTTTTTCCGACATCCCTAGCATACACGGATCGTATATCAACTGATTCCGCTGGTTCAGCTGTGATTCTATTTTAAGTGGGTATAAAGAGATTAAACTTGTTTTATTGAAAAAAACTCAAAAGAACTAAGTAAGGATGCGACAGCTGTATCGGATTTTATGAAAAACAAGAAGTTGATGGTACAGGTGAGCGAAAATTAAAAATGTAAAAATTTTTAAGTCGTCTATAAAAGTTCTGCAGTGTGAATTGTGGAAGGGGGAGGGGGGCCCGCGGGGTGCTCCAAAATTTTATATCGCATGCCCTAGACTAATGTGTAACGATATCGGGCAATTCCTCGTTAGGATGCCAAATAATTTTTTCTTACATTTGTTTATACTTTGTCACTGCATGAATCGATTATTTTCAATTAACACAACTACAATTTTTATAAACAGATACAAATTGCTAATGAAAGTGATATGCTGCATGGCTGGAATGCTAAAATACACAGAAATAGACTTGCAACTCACCCAAGGGGATGCGTTTGCATGCAAAAGGGTATGGAAATATTACCAGAAAATCAGCACATTTCATACACACAATTAAACACCAAGTTCATAAAACTTGCATCCGGTAATTGTTCCTATACCGCATGTCTTACTATATGTATGCGCATTTTATATTTCATTCAACTTTGTCCGTATATTTTTTTTTTCCTACATTAGGCGAAATATTGCTACTGCTTCCACAAGCTTTAACGTCGTCATGGATGCGGAAGAGTTGACGGACATTTTTTACACCAGTGACAAAAAGGGTCAAGTGTGCCGCGTCAAATTGAATGGGCAAGGCTTTATGCTACAGCGTGAGTCAAATAATGGCCGTTCTAGAGAGCAACTCATCAATATGAATGACATTGTCGGTAGTCGCTGTATTGTTGTAAAAAAAGATCGACGCGCCTGTTCGATGCTCTGCAGTTATGCCATGCAAAATGATGGCAGTCGTAGTGATAGCGGGGATGAAACGAAAAAGAAGCCCACTTCTGTAACATATGAACATAACGATGCTAGCGCTTACCTATATGTTTTTGCGTATATTCTAAATAAAAAACATCTCCGCAATATAATCCGTCGTGAGCGAACCGTGTTGAAGTTACGTTTTCGTTCCTTTGACACCTTCGGTGAAAATATGCGTGAAGCGGAACGTTGGTATCATACGGTTAGAGCATTCAAGGGGCATAGTTTGGGCACAAATGACACGAATGAACGACACATATTAGTTTTGTTAAATCCCAAATCGGGATCGGGTAAAGCACGTGAAATTTTCAATCGTCAAGTTGTGCCAGTGTTGAATGAAGCTGAACAAGCGTACGATTTACATGTAACAAAACATGCCAACTATGCGCGAGAGTTTGTGCGCGTAAAAGCGTTGGATAACTATAGCGGCATTGTGGCGGTAGGAGGTGATGGTCTGCTCTTCGAGATTCTAAATGGTTTGTTAATGCGTGCCGATTGGCAAGAGGCACGCCACATTCCTTTGGGCATTGTGCCATGTGGTTCTGGTAACGGACTAGCACGCTCGGTGGCGCATGTATGCGGGTGAGTTTCTGAAAATCAGAGGACGTTTTTATAACAAGTAATTCTTAAGCGAAAAACAAAACCGACTTCAATTCTCACATAAAAACTTAATATTATCGTAAATTTATTCCTGATCCAATGATCGGATTTAAACAAAATAATTATGGGACCACCAGTGAGGTAATACCTTTCCTTTAAAAAAATCTGTTAAAGTGGTCCAAAGTTATGCAGTGACATACATAAATAAAAGATTCCGACGAATTGATAACCTTCTCCTTTTTGTGAAGTCGGCTAAGAATACGTACAGTTACAGCCGATTTCTCAGTGGATGTTTAATAACAATCAAAAGATTATCTATCTTGTCTGTTTCTCAGTGTACCTAATAGATGATTAACTCATAGTTAATTTGCCAACATTGGGCAGTTAACTATTGATTTACTAATTATTTGTTAACTTATAGTTATTTATCAACTGAAATATCGGCTGTTAGTCACAGAATTATTCGTTATTTAATTTTTCACGTTTATGTTTCAAGTAAGTAAGCTTACCGTTGATTTTTTATTGTCGAGGGTGTTGCGCATTTATTTCTAAAAAATTTATTTTTTTTAGCTACGTGACACTTGCACTTTATTATACTGCAAAACTGCGTACTAAAAAAAAACGACGAGCAAAATAAAAATATCAAATCGTTTTTAATGTCGCGCCAGCAGCTGGTACAATCACACAACAAGAACATACACGGTCAATCGGCTGGCACCAACACTTGATGGCGCTATCATGCTGGTATCATCTATGGGCCCTTTAAGTAGTATGATACCACCCTTGTGGTACCACCTTTCCAACAATTTTATTGGGCTTGAAGCCGTTTTTAAAGAACTTTTTTGTGGAAAACAACAATAATTTACATTTTGGTAGAAGAACGGCCTCAAGCTCAATAAAATTGTTGAAAATATTTGTTATAAGGCCGTAAAAAAACGAAAACCAGTACCACCCTTCCGATAAAAAAATAATTGCCGAAATCGGTTAACGTGGTCCAAAGTAATGTGGTAACATACCTAATTTTTTACGACGAATTTATAACTTCCTCCTTTTTTGAATTCGTTCAAAAAATTCAGTAAAAATTAAATTAAAGCTAAAACCCTCGACTACTACCCCTGCAAATTAACCTGATAGTCACTTATTACAGGTCTATTCTGCACGTTACCAAAGATTTTGTAACCGGAAAATTTTATTACCAAAAAATCTTACCAGTTCTTGTCACCGCGATTATAGATACGTTGGTAATGCAGTTAAAATATTCAACAATTCAGCTATGAAGAATTGTGGAATTTCTGGCATTGCATATTTCACGGGGCAATACTTTATTACCAGCTTATGAGATGCTAACGAAATTTAATGGTTACAAGAGTACACAGAATGCGAAAAGAGTTTTAAAATTGAGAGGAACTTTATATACCGGTAAACAAAATTTGTATTACCAGCGCAGAATAGACCTGTTATATACCTTGTTTATACAGACACATAAAGCGCTGTTACTCAGTTCGGTGTGAACAGATGCATAAACAAAATTTCAATACGCGTTGAAATCGAAAAGTGTAAATTTATTATTAAATAAATGGCGAATAAAACTAACGGAGGTTGTTTACTTTTTAATACGGTTTAATCAAGTACGCTTTAAAGACTGAGGAAACGTTAGAAAGAAATATGTGTTGAATCAAATCGGTTTTTTGTTAATGCGGTTTTTTCGTAGGAATAGAGAAGGTATTAGTCATTTATTGAACAGGGAAAACTAATATCGGCGAAGTTACAGTACCTACCGCACTTAAGTAAAAGATGATAGATCCTTCCATTCCTTCCTGATAATACCATTTCTGCACCTTCATCTTAAGGTCACTTATACTGCCTTACCTTGAATTTAATTTTCCCCGAACCGGTTCAATTTTCACTTTTGGTTTTCATGTATTTAGGTATTATGGGCGGAATAAAAATTTTTGGGTGACATTTTTTTCGGGCGAAACTCAGGATATGGCAAATAGTCATTTATTGAACAGCCAAAACAGATTTTGACACTTTTTTTTTTTAATTTCCATTTTTTTATTGTTGGACGAGCAAAATAAGTGAATGAATATAAGCTTCTCAAATATTGGAAAAAACGCGATTTTTTGACACTTTGACCTCGTTTTTCTCAAAATCTGGAGCCGATGGAAACTTTATACTTACGGATTTGTAATGAGCACAAAAAACTGTATCAAAAACAGTTTTAACATTTGCCGCATCAAAATCAGTGTTGCCTTTTGTAATAGATACCATTTATTAATTTCAAATGAAAAAATATTACGAAAAAACTAAAATGTTTTCCAAAAAAAAAGATTTTACTAAAATTGAATTTTTAATTGGATTTTCTTTTTATTTACTAACATATGTATCAATAAATTCATTCCACTTTCAAAACTCAAAATTTACTTATACGTTTAATTCTAGAGAACCATATGAGCCAAAGCCAATCTTGGGTGCTACACTGACAACGCTGAGCGGCAAATCCATTCCCATGGATGTTGTGCGAATACAGCAACAAAATCAAGTAATTTTCCCGCATAAATACATATACAGATGTACATACTTAAGTTTTATATGAATTTACTTTAAAGGACCAATTTATTTCTTCTCTATCAGATACTGTATTCCTTCCTTTCCGTTGGTTGGGGACTCATCTCAGATATTGATATCGAAAGCGAACGCTTACGTTCGCTTGGCTATCAAAGATTTACAATTTGGACCTTACATCGCCTTATAAGTTTACGTACATATCGGGGCAAAGTGTCATATCTTCCAAAGGATAATTTTTACATGGAAAGCGATATAATATCGCTATCGGCGGCAGATCCACTGCCATTGAAGCATAGTAGAAGTTGTAATACCTGTTTGGATAAACTGAACAGGGGTTGTTTTCAATCCAATGAATGCATTGAAGCAAGCAAATATTATGATGTAATTTCACTACAAAACTCGCTGAATCAATCACTGCATTCACGTTGCGACAGTTGGTTTTCACCTGGCTCCTGTCGTAGTACTTATCATTCCGTCTCGGAAAGTATTTATCAGAGCGTAGAAGGTGATAGCGACAGCGAATCGCGGCGCCTACATCTCAGCAATTTGAGTGTAAATTTTTGTGGTCCAACAGGTAATGCGCCAACGCTTGAGGAGCCCGTACCCGACGACTGGATTGTGGAGGAAGGTGAATT